ATAGTTGCTGACTAAGAAACATCTATTAGACCATGTACAGTACTTGAGTCTTGTGATAATATCAGTAATATTGCTTTTGTATTATACGATATACTGTAAACTTGCTGTTAACATATTATATTATTAATATTCATGGTTGTCAAATATCATAAAATCAACACACAAAATTCACACACAAAGGTATAAAATAGTGTATATTGGTATAAACGTTTAATAAAAATGCATACATACGTAACCCATGGTCGGCATGGAATTTTGTCACTTGGCACAGTACTTTAATGTTTTTAATGTTTGTCCCACATTAAAATATATTGAGTCAATGACAGTGCAACTGTTCATATTAAACTGACGTTCTAATCACATTTTACATGCACATTTGTATTCAGTAGTAATCTTTTCATAAAGGTACATCAAAGTCCCAAATCAAATTCTTCACTGACAGTAGTGACAGTATGTTATTGACTCCCAAACGACAAATATTATAAAACACGCTTCCAAGCTGAAAAGAAATATTTACTGTTGTCAGTCAGTGTTTAGACTCTTCTCTTTGAATCTTGATCTTCCACAAGTATTGCTGTTGATTATATTCCATATTTTTTTGAAGAACATCGCAGACTATATATTTACAGTATTTCCACTGTCAGTTGAAAAGTTTATCATCATAGTTTCAGTCTCTGGTTTCAGTCGCAAAAGGTTAATTCTATCGCCCCTTTGCACGGCCATGTTTGATAAAATCAAAGCGGCCGCACCCCCGGTTTGAAAAGTTAAATTTCTGAAATATTCAAAATTTGAAGCATCACGTGACCAGCCTTTACCAGGGCCTTTGCTGCTTCGCCTCCTTCCTCAATAGGCCCTGGGGACGAGGTTGCTTAAAACGCCGATTATGCCATCATTACTTTCTTAAGACTGAGATATTTCATATGAATTTGTCAAATATGTTTATTTGAGAGTTTTATGAATTATATGCTTAAATATATTTATTCTGTACGTCCTACTAGGGGGGGGGGGCAAATTTACTGGGAAATACATCATGCGTCGCATTTAAAAACCTGTCAGCTTTATTGTAACTTGGAATTTCCGGTGAGGAAATTACGTCTACGATTACGTCATGTGATTACGCACATATTTGATATTTCACAATTTCCTGTTGGGACGTGTCGTTTGGTGGCTGGTGCAAAAGCCAACAAAAAAAGTTGTTGTATCCCAAGAGCGAAGGAGCAATGGAATTTTTCGTGTGTTTAGCGTTTTTGCCTGTGGTTCTTCTTTTAATCTATCACGCAATTATCAAGAAATATGCCGCCGGTGGTGTGTGCACGAGTAAAGCGACGATGGCTGGAAAGACTGTTATCATAACCGGAGCTAATGCAGGCATTGGTAAAGCGACCGCTATTGATATGGCCCAGAGGGGAGCTCGTGTAATTATGGCATGTCGAGATCCGAAGAGAGGCGAAGCAGCATTGAAAGATGTCGTTGAAGAAACTGGCAGCAAGGAAGTTGTTTTGAAACAACTCGACCTTGCTTCATTGAAGTCCGTTCGCAAATTTGCCGAAGACATCAACAAGAATGAGCCAGAACTTCACGTGTTGATCAACAACGCTGGGCTTGCCTATCCTCCCAAACAGTCGAAAACAGAAGACGGCTTTGAGTTGACAATGGGTGTAAACTATTTAGGACACTTCCTACTGACAAACCTACTCCTCGATTTGTTAAAAAAGACAGCACCATCTCGTATTGTTGTTGTTGCCTCCTCTGTACACCATCAGCTGACGAAAGAGTTTAAATTCGATAACATTCACAGTGAAAAGTTCTACGATCATTGGGACACATATGGCCAAAGTAAACTTGCCTGTATCCTGTTCACAAGAGAGCTAGCAAAGCGACTAGAAGGCACGGGCGTTACAATCAACGCCCTTCATCCTGGAGTGATCACAACTGAGCTGGTCGTAAACTTCATGAATCCGATTGGTATGTTTTTCATAATGGTAGGGATGCGTTTTCTCTCCAAGACTCCAGAGCAAGGCGCACAAACAACCATACATCTAGCTGTTTCAAAGGAAGTGAAAGATGTAAGCGGATTGTATTTTTCTGATTGTGCATTAAAGGAACCTTCGAAATATGCTCAAGATGATGGTGTTGCAAAAAAGTTGTGGGAGGTGAGCTCTGATCTTGTGGGATTTGATAGACATCTTTAATTAATTAAACAAGGGTTCTTGTATTGTCATTGAACAGCTCGGTATATGCTTAAATTAATTTAAAAAGTTATTCAAAAACTGTATTTGTAAATTATTATGTCTCAATCAATTCCATGGGTGCCCAACACAGACATTCCAACCTCCGAATCCTCAAAACCGGAACACTTCCCAATTTTCCCATTTAACTTAAATAAACGCCTCCCTCGAATAAATGCCGCGCTTTTCTCATTGATGTGGTGTCTATTTGGGTTAGTGTTAAAATTGGCTGAGTTGAGTTTGAATTAAACAATAAATTCACAGTGGATGCTACAAAAACTAGTTTTATTACACAAACGTTGAAACCGATAAGTAATATAACATCTTCTCAACAAGCTTTAATTTCATTGAAGTACTGTCCTGGCGAAATTGTTTCGTTTTACAGGGCCGTAGGAACCTCTTTTTTATTGGGGGTGGGGGCTGAAAGCGAGGGCCAAAGGCCCGAGGAAATTGTTAAATTTAGAGTCTCTGAAATGCCATTTCCTGGACTTTGGGGAAGATTGGACAGAAATCTGATTGTCAGAAAACAGTGTTTTAAGATGTCAAAATTTACAATTTAGTAGTACTAAATGGGCGAAAGCGCATTTAATTAAGTATATTTTGGATAAGTTGCAGGAAAGTATGGGTAATATCTTCATTCTTTGCCGTTTTGCATGGATTAAATTATAAAGGTCTGCATGATTTTGAAAAAAGAATGATTATTAGCAAATTATTGGGGGGGGGGGG